TTAAAGAACGCAGATACCTCAGGCAGCAGGAGTGGCATATTCGCTGAAAATGGAGGGAAAGGACGCGTGTGCAGTGACTTACTTTGGAGATGGGACCACAAGCGAGGGAGATTTCCACGCGGGCCTAAATTTTGCAGCTGTGATGGATGCCCCCGTGGTGTTCATATGCCGTAACAATGGGTGGGCCATCAGCACCCCTGTCGCGGAGCAGTTCCGAAGTAAGTTGTTGCAGCTGAGTTATAGGAAACGAATTTTGTGTGTATTTGATTGAAACTTATTGTGTATTGGGTGGGTAGGTGATGGGATTGTGAGCAAGGGAAAAGGGTATGGGATCACAAGTATTCGCGTGGACGGAAATGATGCCCTTGCTGTCTACAATGCCATCCGTGTTGCTCGCGAAATGGCAATCAAGAAACAAGCCCCCATACTTGTTGAGGTATTCATTCATTCACTCACTCACTCACAAGGGTCAAAATTGGAATTCAAAGACAAAAACATTCAAGTAGAGTATCATGTGCCTTGACTCACAAGTTTGAGCTCGTGGCTAAGTTCGTTCTTGGACAATTTCAAACTAGGAGTAGGAGAAAAAAACTTAGTAAAAGGTTCACAAAATGGTATGAATTTGAGAAAAAAATTACCTCCTTAAATGATGATAGAGGAGTCACTTCACTCATTCTCTTGAAGGATGATTTTGCACAAACCTTTATTTCTTAGAATCTCTCCCTTTCTTTTCATTTGGTTTTGTCAAAACATCTTTGTTTTACTAGGCACTGACATATCGTGTATCTCACCATTCGACATCGGATGACTCCACAAAGTACCGGCCCACACAAGAGATAGAGCACTGGAAGACAACGCGGAGCCCGGTGGCCAGGTTCAGAAAATGGGTAGAGAAGGAGGGATGGTGGAACGACGAGAAGGAATCTCAACTTCGCCGGGATATGAGGAAACAAGTTTTAGAAGCAATTCAAGAAGCAGAGGGGATGGAGAAACCTTCGCTGTCGGAGTTGTTCGCGGATGTTTATGACCATCTGCCTCCAAACCTTAAAGAGCAGGAGAGGTCATTAAGAGACATTGTAAAGAGACACCCCAAGGACTACCCCGCCGATGTCCCCGTGTAGGACACCCTATCATAGTAACTATTTTGGAAACAGTGTGGTGGCATGTCATTGTTTGTGTGTGTATCCTTTCATTTTTAGACTGGGTTCAACTTACTTTAAGGACTTAGCTTGGTGATGATCATTATCAATTGATACCATACTCCCTCGGCCATCTTGGTTTCTTGCAGTATTGACCTGCAAAGAAAAGTAAGAGGACCAATCAAGAAGATATGTAGATATAAGATCAAGATGGAAATTCTTTTTTCTGCAGGTCAATACTGCAAGAAAACAGGGTGATACAGAGAAAAGTAATTTTTTTTCTTACTAAATGTTTTGTGCAATAAATATTTTTTTGAAAGTTTTTTGAAAAATGAATATAATAAAATCATTTTTTAGATTAATATGCAATATAGTGTAATGCCCATTCACTTGAATCTGTTTTTTTCAAGTGGTCCTTTCACTATTTTAGAACATATTTTGAGCATCCCTTTAAAATTAGCAAAATTTAATTTTGGTTCCTCTAAATATTTTTTTAACTTGGCAAATGTTTTTTCGATCCCTAAAACATGATCAACATATATTCCAAATCGGTAGAAAGGATCACTTGAAAAAAAGATTTTTTCAAGGATTAATTAATTATGGAGAATTCAAGAAATACCAAATGAAAACTTCATTAATTTTACAGGGACCAAACACGTATTTAACGCTTAAGATTTTTATGGGCCTCGACTACCAATACCGGGGCTTTTTTTTTTTT